CCCCAAAACCCCAAAACCCCAAAACCCCATAATGCCAGAAATGATTTTTATTTGTAAAATATCTTATTCGCTAATAATTCATAATTGAAAATACCTCTGCAATATAGCAAAGCCAACAGTTATCAATGTGGTATATATAGTATTCATAAGACCAAAGGTTGCTTTTAATCCCATTAATTTAAGAGGCTAATGTTCTCCATCTATTTCTAATCTTTACATTATAACATCAATCTCATCCATAACATCTTGTATTTTTTATTTCATAGTATCTTGATCAAATTTTTTAAGAGCTTGCTAGATATCTCTAGTAATCAGCTTTAAAAAGGGCCCTGTATATATGGCACCATTCTTAATATTATCAATATTAATTTGAGAAAATAGCAGAGCTTGCTTTAACTTAGACAATTAAAGTCTGTCACGTATAAATTGGTGATTAAATCTAGCTCCAAAATATAGCATTATCAGTAGTATTAAAAATACATTGACTACATCAAATATTACGCATACGTAGAAAAACCAAGATAGTTTAATGTTGATAATCTCTAATAATAATAGTAGAAGCAGGGTAATTATAATAAGATTCTAGGCAAAGAAAGTAGAGCAATAAGCTTATATTCTACTTTGAAATTTTAAACCAAAATCCATTAAACATACTCGCAAGTCCATCCAACTTTGAATTGACTGTTTGTAAGTCATATTGATTGATGGAAATATTTGATATTTGATATTTATCAAAGGTTTAAATGGGTTTAATAGAGCTCCACAAGCTTCAATCATAAGTACTCTTCTATGAAAATCTATCAAACCAGAAATTATAAATAGATAGTTTGGAGTACAAATCAAGAAAATGATGGCTGTCTCACCTATTTGAAATAAGTAACTATCCCAGCTCTATTATTAGAAACCAGCATTCTATTCGTATTATCTTACTAAAAATGGAATCATCACTCTAATCATAAGCGCGATAAATACAAAAGTTCGATATCCTTAACTTGGTGAATGAGCTTCTGCAAAAAGTACTATTTCTTTGAATACCAATTTAGCTTTAAACTGCTAAAATGATTTTTAGTCAGATTTACTATTCTAATTGTACTTGTGAATTAGAAACTAATCATAGTCTTAATTAATGGGATCGAAAGTCCTGATTTTCCTTAAATTTTACTAAAGTTATAATCTTAGCTTATTTACTTTTTGGTAATAGTCTTAAGCAGAGTATTTATTATAAAGTTCATAATAGTAATTTTCGTTAACAAGCCTATTAAGCATATTTTCATCCTGTATGTACTCGAAAAACTAAAAATTAAACTCATGTTCTTCAACCATATTTCTCCAGAGACTGGATTCTATTTCTTACTCAACTACCTATGGCCTCAATTAAAACCAATTGAACAAAAGCAAATCATGTGATATAAAGTCTACTGACTATGTTTTAGTCACCATCATTTAAAATCTAAAGTATGAGCTGTATCCATGTCTGATGGCAATAATGAAATTACGGATCACAATATATTGGATTAGAAATAAATACTGGCCATCGTAGACGTTGATTAGTGGAGTTTCTATTTATAGAAAATTTTGCTTGCTATTAACCCATAAAACTGTTAAAGCTAGAATGATGAAATGTACGCTTAGTTAATTTACAAATGACGTATTCCCGTTTCATCAGAACCAGAATGATAGATTTATAGGTAAATATCTGCCATCGAACAAATAAATAATTGGTATTACTATTATGCCGAGAAATTAAAACAAGATGTGATAGATGAAAATTCTGATAAACCTAAGGGGATGAAATTCTACCGTATATTCACTCATATCAATGACTTTTCCCACGATTGCTTAGCCTATTTTCTGTGTAATTTCAGACTTTTTTGCATTTATTGGTTAATGTGGTAATATCTATCCAATTTATAGAGAAGCAGTTAGATTGGTTAAGTCATTCAAGCTATTTAAGCTAGTTTAAAATTATTCTTTATTGTCTGTATTTTCTTCTGAGATTTAGATTTTGGTTATATTCTCCATGTTTTAAGATTGTTTCATTGTATCAACCTCAATAAAATCAACTTAAGTAAACTTTTGATCCATTTACCTAGTTTTTAGAGCAATTTATTTCAAGTCGTTTTGAAAATCAGAGACTTTTTATAAGTTAAATTCTCTAATGTGATTGTTTTCTTATGCCTATATAGATTTAGAAGGTGATTTATCGGAATGAATATTATCAAAAGTTGTATCATCTATTAGACTCATATCCTCAAAAAGCTGATTCAACTCTTTTTACTCAGTATCCATTAAATTTCTTTAGTTTGTAGTACTCTTATCCTATTCTGTTGTGCTTCTTAATTACGATGATAACTGTTCTTATTTAATGTGAAAAGATTAATTATTTTCAAGTTATGAATCATTTAAAACTTCTTCCATTATAATTGATTTGTTATAAGATGAAGCCATTAATAGTTTTAGTTAATAGTTTCTAGTTTCAGATTTACTATCTGCTTATTTATTAATTATTTTAATTAAATAAATACTCAAAATATATTTTTCAACACTAACTAGTATCTCTCTCATTTCAATATATCTTTAAAGATCAATGAGCTTGTAGTAATATTCTCCTTGTTCCTTCTTAATTCTTATATTTATCAAACTACCGTTTTTATTATCTAATAAATGCGTTGATTCAATAACTTTAACAATTTGGAAGTTTCTCATATTAATTAATGAAATCTACTTATGATCTTTCACAATAACAAAAGGGTTCTATTTATAGTCATACTATTACACTCCAAATATATTAGGCCATTTATCTAATTTTATTTCTTTTATAATACATCTCTTTTTAAAATCATACATCTTCAAGCAATAATCATGCCAATCAGTATAAATAATGGTCTTAGAATTTTAAGGCAAAATAGAAAATATCATTCCTTTTTCAACTAATCTTTTTTTATCTTAAATTAACTTGTAATCAAAGTCACCTTTTTTAATTAATTTACCGATACCTATTCCA